GATTTCCAAAATAGCCATCCTTTGCACAGTTCTTAATTACTGCTCATTCTGTTTCTATTATTTCTCGGTCTCTTATTCTTACTTTCTGATTGTTGTCTATATTTTCTACTGGTGGTCTATAATACCACTACTATTTGGTTCAGTGATACACCTGGATGCATCATTTTATGACCTTACCTCTTAAAGCATCCAGCCAAATATTTTCCTTGATTTCCAAAATAGCCATCCTTTGCACAGTTCTTAATTACTGCTCATTCTGTTTCTATTATTTCTCGGTCTCTTATTCTTACTTTCTGATTGTTGTCTATATTTTCTACTGGTGGTCTATAATACCACTACTATTTGGTTCAGTGATACACCTGGATGCAACATTTTATGACCTTACCTCTTAAAGCATCCAGCCAAATATTTTTCCCATGGGTCTAAAATAATAAAATAAAATAATAGCTCTGGTAGCCTAGTGCCAAAGGCACTTGACTGCTAACCAGAAGGCTGGCAGTTCAAACCCACCACTCCTTGGAAGGAAGGTTGGGCCATCTACTTCCGTAGTGATACTGCCTCAGAAACCCAAGGAGGGGTCGCTGTGAGTTGAGTCTGACTCGAGGGCACATAACAACAACAACAAAATAATGAAATAATAATTTACTACAATTATTGATTCTTAGTATTGTAGGAGCATGTTTGTAGTTCTAGAGTGCCTCATTAGTAGTCTTTTCTTTCCTGAGATAAACAAAAGAAGTACTAAGGGGATGATTTATTTATAGCTCTAGTCTATTACCTCCAAAAAGAAGAATAAAAGATTTTTTTTTAAGGGACAGTATAGAGTAGTACTCTAATCACAGCTCTACTATTTAATACCATGTGTTATTGCTGTTGTTAATACTGTTTTCTTAAAGTGAATGACATGGCTGCTAGTCATCCTCACTGGGTATGGCTAAAGAAAGCTGCTGAAAATGGAAGATGGTACTTTTTCTTACCAATGAGTAAAACTGGGAATGTTGAAAACAGACTACTGGATGGTAAAATTCCTCAGTGGCAGTAATCACCTTGTTGTTTTCTAATCAAAACCTTCCAAGAGAAGCTGGAGTTGCCTAGGAAGCTGTGAAAGAATCTGTTAAGAATAACTCCCATTGTATTAATTATCATTGCTAATTCAGCAATTATTTCCCTTGCTTTCTATGTCTTGATAGGAAAATATAGATAACGGACAAATGCTCTTTGAGACCTGAGACTGTAATATGATATACTTAGCAAGAAATAATGTTTATATCTTCTCTTCCTTTCTTTGTTTTTCTAACTATTTTGCATTCTGCTGCGTGAGTAGTAGTCAATAATATTAGACCAGTTAGGATGAGTCAAACCAGTCACTCTGCTATTATGAGAAATGAAACTACCAATGAGTTGTCTTCTCTTTGGGAAACTGTGACTTAGTGAAAGGATCGTGGGCTGGAATCCAGTACGAGGCTTGTCTTACTTCCACAAATTATTAGCAGTGAGACCTTCAGCAATATAATTACTTTCTCTGACCCTTGATTTCCTAATCTGTAAAAGGAAACTATGAAAGATCATTCCCTAGCTGATCTCATATGGTTCTATGGCTTTAAATACAAAATATATGGTAATGACTATTAAAGTATACCTTTAGCCCTGACATCTTCCCTGATCTTCATTCTTGGATTTTCAAATGCCTCTTTTTAAAAGTTCCGCTTAATTTCCAATAGGAATCTCAAACATAAAATCTTATTTCCTGTTTCTTCCATCTTCTTTAGCCATTTTTACTTTCATTCACAGCCCATATACACCTAATCTATAGCAAATCATGTTAAAATATGTAATACTTACCCAGAGTTAAAACCATTCTCTCTACCTACAGTGCTAACATCCTAATCTAAACCACCATACCTCTCAACTCAGGAATTTAAATATCCTCCTACTAGTTTCCTTGCTTCTCTATCATCTCACAGCCTATTCTTCATATTTTAAAACATAAGTCAGTTTATGTTGTTCCCTTGCTCAAAATTCTTTGATTGTCTTTTTATCACACTCAGATTAAAATGCAAAGTCCTTATAATGGCCTTCTGTCAGCCACACTGGCCTTTTTGGCCTTTACTCTTCTCACAGATATCCTCGAGGATAGCTGTGTTGCTTAATTCAAATTTCACTTCATTCATTTACTTGAACAAAATAACCATCCCTAATTTACTCTATCTAAAATAACACTTCCAATTCTGTATACTAATCCTACTTTTTTTTTTTTCAAGAGCTGTTACTACTACTTGACATTATACCATATACGTGTTAGTTATTGTCTCCTCTCACTCCCTTGCTAGAATGTGAGCCCCACACAAGCGAGGAGTTTCTGCTTTGGAAAGCTTTGTATGTTCCTGGCACTTACTTGTTTAGCAAATAATCATGTAACCCTTACCATATTAAAATACTAATAATAGAATGCTTTCTCTGTTCCAGGCTCTATTCTGAATATTTTGCTGGTATTAACTCATTTAAGTCTCAAGAACTGTGGAGTAGCACTGTTATTACTATTTATCACATGTAAAAAACTTTAGACCCAGCTAATAAATTATGGAACCAAGATTTCAACCCAAGTAATCACCTATTTATGGAACTTACTTTCTTCATGCGCTGCATATGCTATTTCCAGAGATAGAGATTTGACATAGTACTGTCTCAGGAACCTTTAGCCTTATTTTGAAGACAAAATACATATCATAAAACATATTAAAAAATAATACAGAGAAATATAAGATTAAATCACAAAATGAGAGTTACAGATAGAAACCAAAAGGAGAGAGATTGTTTTAGGCTAGATGCATTACAGAGGATCTGTGTTGGATTTAGAACAGTTTCTCAAAGTGAGGGCTATAAACCAACTAAGATTCACTGGAAGTGTTGGTTTAAAAAAGCTCTTAAGCCTTGGAGTCACTCAGATCTTCAATATCAAAATCTCTCAGAGAGAAACAAGGAATCTTAAAAAAAAAACCTTATCACATACCAGGTTGCCAAGGCTATGGAGAAATAAGCATTTCTGTGTATTGCCAATGAGAATATAAATTGGTATAACCCTGATGAACCACATTTTTTAAATATATATGTCAAAAATATGTAGCTTTGGACCCCTAGCAATGGTTATCCTACAAATATACTCCATATGGTATTTATCCTTTAGATATACTCCCACATGTGCAATATTATATATGTATAGGTTATTCAGAGAGCCCTAGTGACACAGTCATTAAGTTCTAGGCTGCTGACCAAAAAGGCTGGCAGTTTGAACCCACCACCTACTCTATGGGAGAAAAAACCTGGCAATCTGCTTCCTTAAAGATTACAGGCTAGGAAACCCTGTAGGGCAGTTGTACATTGTCCTATAGGGTCACTGTGAGTGAGAATCAACTAGAGGGCACACAACAACGACATAGGTTATTCATTTCAACACTGTATATAAACAGTAAAAATGTTGTTTATACACACAATGGAATACTTGCTGGCTATTAAAAAAAAAATAGAGTTCTTTATGTATTGCTATAGAAAGCTCTTCAAGATTAATTGATAAGAAAAGTGAAATGAAGAACCATCTAGATGATAAGCTAGGATGGAGAGACAAGCTAGATGGGAGACAATATCAAAGGTGCCCTGTTAGCACAGTAGTTAAAGCACTTGGCTGCCAACTAAAAGGTTAGCTGTTCAAACCCACCAGCTACTCCACAGGAGGAAGATGTGGCAGTCTGCTACCATAAAGATTACAGTCTTAGAAACCCTATGAGGCAGTTCTGTTTTGTTTTGTAGGCTTGCTATGAGTCAAAATTGACTCAGGAGTAGCAGGTTTTGATACTAAAAATATCCCTGATAAGATTAAAAAAAAGAAAAGGATAATATTGGTTCTCTACTGGAAGGGATGGAGTTGAGGGAGTCATGAAGTGCAAGGGTGATAAAAGTAGAAGGGAAGCTTTGAACTGATAGATGTAATATTCAAAATGTGAGAAAAAAAATCCTTGAATTATTTTCTTAGGAGAATGGCCACAGTTGAGGTAAATAGAAATAAAGGAGGGCTTAACTCTCATTTTTCCATATAGTAGTTACTCACTTTGGTTAATTACAACTCTGAGACCTAATTACCACCTCAAATGCAAACAACTTTTCACATTCTAAAGCAGTGTGACCAATTTCATGCTACTTAATTATAAAATACATGAAATTGAACATTAATATTTTTTTTTTGTGACTTTTGTTCATACTAATCTGTAAACTAGTCCTAGATTTTATGGGTTTTATAGCTTCTTAGTCTTCAAAACCCATTTTGATGTTGCCTAATACTTGAAACCTGTTTCTAATCATCTTAGTGTTCTTGTTTCTGAATGCTTTTTAATGTATATTATTTTAATGTAAATGTCCCATGTTTGTTATAGAATTTGTATGATTGACATAAGTAAAAATAAGTAATAAATCTTATCCATAATCCTACTGCTTAGAGATAAATATAGTGAACATTTTGCTCTATCTTCTCATTTTCCATGATTGTATTTTTCCAAAGCTGTAATCATGCTATATATAATTGTTGTTAGTTGTCATTGTGTTTATTCTGATTCATAGCAACCCCATGTGTGTCAGAGAAGAAATATGTTTTTTGGGGTTTTCAATGATTATGATCTTTTAGAAGTAGATTAGCAAGCCTTCCAAGGTGCCTCTGGGTGGATTCTAAAACTAATCTTGCACTGACGAGCTGAGCACTAACTGAAAGATTAAATGTCAGTGTTGTGCCCTCCTAGCGACTGCATGTGACAGAGTAGAAGTGCCCTATAACTGTCTTGGCTGTAATCGTTACAGAAGCAAATTGGCAGGTCTTTCTCCTATGGAGCCACACATTGGGTTTGAACTGCCAGCCTTTGAACTGCCAGCCTTTCAATTAGCAGCTAAGCACTTAACTGTTGTGCCACCAGAACTCCTCTTAAACATTTTATTTTTTATTTTCTTTTTAATTCTAGCACCAAGCAATATCTTTTTTGCTGGCTGAAATGGCAATGAAAGTTGAACTAGCTAGGTTGAGTTACCAGAGGGCAGCTTGGGAGGTTGATCGTGGACGTCGAAATACCTATTATGCTTCTATTGCAAAGGCATTTGCTGGAGATGTTGCAAATCAGTTGGCTACTGATGCTGTGCAGATTTTCGGAGGCAATGGATTTAATACTGAGTATCCTGTAGAAAAACTAATGAGGGATGCCAAGATCTATCAGGTAAGGGTCAAATGTATTTTATTATTTTTTAGGGGACAAAATAATCTTAAATGACAAGGTAAATTTCTATTTATTAGAGATTTTATACTATTGGTAATAATAAATGAATATCAGAATAGATGGCTGTGAGCCAAAGTTTTTTAAAAAACTAAAGGGAGCTCCGGTAGTATAGTGCCTAAGGCATTCAACTGCTAACCTGAAGACTGGTGGTCCAAACCCACCAGCCACTCCTCAGAAAGAAGATCGGGCAATCTACTTCCGTAGAGATACCGCCTCAGAAACCCAAGGAAGGGTTGCTATGAGTTGCGAATGACTCGACGGCAATGAGGGTTTTTTTTTTAGTAGTTATTTGCCATCGAGTTGGACCTGACTCATAGCGACCCCTCCTTGGGTTTCCGAGGCAGTATCACTACGGAAGTAGATTGCCCCTTTTTAGTAGTACAGAGAAGAATATTGCTTTTTTAAGTGTATGCCTTAAAGGAGAATAGGCTGATAGAGTAAATGGTACTGACATATACAGTTCGTCTAGATGAGCCTTTTTTTTTTTCCCCAAAACTTTGTAGTTCATTGTAACATACTCTTTACTCTCCTATACCTGGCGTTTAAAACTAATTAAATTATTTTGTTTTGAATCTGAAAACTCTTGAATTGATTAAATCCATACTGGAACTCAGAAACCAACATGAGGAGACAGTGATATAGATGACTTTGTCTTCTAAATTTTAATGGTGGTTTACAAAAACTTAGAGAAAGTACCAGCTTAGTAAATAAAATACATGTGTGTGTTCTCCACAGGTGGCACAAGTTAATTAGAAGACATTCTCCTCAATATGTCTTTCCTTGCTTCCCTACTTTGGCCCGCACACATACTCAGGCAATTATTTGACAAATTTAGATGTAGTACAGTCCCCTCAATTTAGACATGAGAACACTGAGAACTAGAATTTTTCCCCTATTCAAAGTCGCAGGTTTATCTGGTGATATTCTCCTTCTGAAGTCTAATTATTAAGTACTATTACTATTATTAGGACCTCTGGTAGTGTAGTGCCTAATGCATTTGACTGCTAACCAGAAGGCTGGCAGTTCAAACCCACTAGCCACTCCTCAGAAGGAAGGTTGGGCAATCTACTCCTGTAGTGATACTGCCTCGGAAACCCCAAGGAGGGATCGCTATGAGTCAGATCTGACTCTACGGCAGTGAGTTTATTATTATTATCAACTATTTAACTCTTTTCTGTCATCTGAAAAGATGAACTAACAAATGTCCAGAATTAAAAGTTTAAACTGGAAATGAGGCTGGCTACTAGCAATAGTTAAGGAATCAAAAACAAATAAATCCTTCCAGAATCTTTAGCAATTCTCTTCCTTACTTGGCAGGAATAAAAAAAATCACATCTAAGAGTAAGAATAGAGAATGTGTGGAGGTGACAAGTAGCTAAGTACAATTCAGAAAAGTTGAACAAATGTTTCGGTAACATTAAACTTTAGTTTTTCTGAACTTTTTGAATTGTTAATATCCTTTTGTTTTTAAGGTTCCTCTTCACAATCTCAATAAATGACTTTTTATGATAATTTAAAATAATTTTTAGAGAATTATATATTTTCACGAGTTCTGCAAAATCAGGTATTAGAAATACTATAGAGTACAGATCCTATATGTGTGCAAAAAAGGCATGGAGACAGCATCCTCCTCTGACCTCTTCCAACCTCACGAGGCAGAAAAAGAATCACCAGCAGCAGCCAAGGCTTATTCCTATGAGGCCAATCAGCTGCCACCCTCCAACCTTTTTACCAACTCTGATACCAACCGTCCCTCCCACAGCACTCGCTACTTCTCTACTGGATTCAGTAATTTGTTGCAGTGGCCAATAGAATTTGTAGACAATATTCATGATTATGGGATTTATTAGGGAAGTAACAGGTTATAATTCAAATTCAGGACTGCTCTCAGGATACAATTTTTCAATCAGAACAGTCTCCCCTTTGCTATGCCCTCAGGTATGCCTTTCTAGCCCTTAGCCTCACCTGTTCAGGCAAGTGTCACAGAGCTCTTTTTGCTCTGCCAATAGGTACACCTAGTTGCACCCCACTCTGCCATCAAGCCTCCTCCCCAAAGGCATTCAGCTTTCTTGCCCCATGGGCTAGCATACCTGCTGCTCTGTCTCGTGCTGGTCTCAGTACTACTACTGCCATCTCTTTGCCAAGGAGGTCCAAAGCAGGGATCTCAGATCCAAGGACACACTGCACTCCACCTACAGCTCTTTTCTCTTGATGGCAGTAAGCTCTCTTTTTTTGCCTCTAGAAGGGCTCACTTTAAGCCTGGTAAAATGACAAAACTGATCAATCCCAACATGAGGGTTCCATACACCTTATTTCCATGGCCCCACCCCCACAAGGATACCATATACCTTATTTACTTTACTAACAAGCTATCTATCTAATCCGTGGTGGGCTACAAGCACCTTACATTTGCATAGTTATATACACCTTACATACTATAGTAATCTGGAGTCACAAAGACCTTGGCTAGAAGAGCCATACCAAGTAATTTAACTGTACTGTAGTGTAGTTTGATTTAGTTTGGTATTGCACTGGGCTTATGGTATTGTCCAAGATATTGAGTAAATCTAGGTAAGTTGCTTAATATACTGAAGATGTTTACCTTACCTTTACGGTTTTTTTCTTCCAGATTTATGAAGGTACTGCACAAATTCAAAGACTTATTATAGCCCGTGAACACATTGGAAAGTATAACAATTAAGGAAATCTCTATGGAAACATTGGTTCAGTGTTGAGTATGAAAGCATCATCTACTGTTTAAGCTCCAGAAGAGAAAGGGCTTTAAGGTTTTTTCCACTGAAAACTTAAAAAAAAGTACTCTTATTCCAATTCTATGCAACTGACTCTCACAGCAATTTTGTGCTTTTGTTTAACTTAGAACTTACCATTTGGTTCCGTTAAAATTATACTTTCTCCTCAGTATCACTTTACTTGAATTACATTAACCTAGAAATATATGTGGTTTTATTATTTTGACCTCTTAAAATCAACATAGCAAAAATTTCTTGGAATTTCAGTATTTTTCCAATGACAAAAAAGTAGGCTTATAAAACTAATCAGAATGTCCAAAAATTGACACTTGAAAAATATAGGATTTGGATACTACCAAATAACTTGCTAGTGACTTTGTAAATTTAATAATTGTATTAAAGGAGTTTTCTGTACTGCAATTGGAAAGCATTTGCTTATAGTTTTCACAGTAATAGTTAAAAATTTGATATTCATTGTTTCCCATTACATAACTACCAAGAGGTACCTAAACATCTTTAATTGTGCACTCACATTTCACTTGCTTTACTAAAATAAATTAATAAATATTGCCTTATTTTTATGATTCCAATGATATTTAGGTTTCATGTGCATACAGTATAAAAAGGAGCTACAATAAAATTGTTGAATACTTATTCACACTCACCCACTGCTGTTGAGTCAATTATGACTCATAGCGACCCCTCCTTGGGTTTCCAAGGTGGTATCTCTATGGAAGTAGATTGCCCAGTCTTCCTTCCAAGGAGTGGCTCGTGGGTTTGAACCACCAGCTTTCTGGTGATTAGTCAGGTGCCTTAGACACTAGTGTATCTGTTTTTATTCTTTCTAGAAAGTTTCATTGCTTCATGTTAATCATGTATAATTGATGTATTTACTGTGGTGAACAAAAAAGTTATGTTTTATTTTGAACTGCATAAATTATTTGCCAATTTTCATTTGATTATATTATTAGAGACTATTATGTGAGAAAATGTAAACATAAAATAACAAATTTTTTAAATGTAATATTTCCTTATAATTCTAAAAATCAAATACTGCTATGATCTGTTTTATTAAATTACTGAAATAAAAATATTATCTTTTACCAAAAAAATGACTTTTTCATGCTTAAAAATGAAATTGTATTTTAAAGGCGCAGCTAGAGATTCATAAGGAGATTTAGAGATTTCCTGTGTAAATTGGGTATTACGTAGAAATTACACATAAAATAGAATACATATATTTTTAAGTGCAGATTTGAATTTGCAGTACACAAGGCCAAAAATCTACTCTAAACATAAATCTTCTAGACATGATACCAATGTACTCCAAAGCCATATAATAAGAATATTTACTAAACCAAAACAAAACTCACTGCCATCGAGTCAATTTTGGCTCATAGCGACCCCCATTGGGTTTCCAAGGCTACAATAAATCTTTACAGAAATAGGTTGCCCAGTCTTCCTTCTGCGAATAGCTGGTGAGTTTGAGCCACCAGCCTTGTGGTTAGCAGTCTGATGCCTTAGGCACTGTGCTACCAGAGCTGCTTTATATTTACTAAAGTTCTCCTAAAAGTAAGTGTTGAGTAGTTCTGTCACTTTGTATCAGTTAGAACTTTTTGGTCACAAGCAACACAAACCAATTTAAGCAACTTTAAGGGAAAAGGGGAGCAAATGTGTTTTAAATAGATGGAAGTGTCTCATGGCTTCAGAAAGACTAAAACTAGATTAGTCTATAGCAATCCATGTTCTACCTCTCAACACTGCTTCTGTGTCATATTTCATTCTTTCTTGCTCTGTAGCCTGGCTTCCTTTCTCTGCTTCTATGAGCCCAGTGTCAAATTGTACTCATTAAACAAAATAAGCAAGGGCATACTTGTACTTCCTTATTAATCTGTAATGAACTATTTCACATTTTTTTTTTACCACATCAACATCAAAGAGTCAACTTCTAGGTATGCTTGGCGTCTATCTCTCTTCAAGCCTCACAGTAGCTTCCTACAGAATCAGCCTCTTTTGAAATTTACAAGCTCTGAGGGGGCAGAATACCCAGTAAGCAAGGTAAGCACAGACTTACTAGTGCTTACTTACTAATCTGTAGTAAGCAGTTCCACATATTTTTCACCACAGATATGAAACCCGTGTGAAGTCGTTCGCTGTTTTACAACATTATTTAGATAGAAAATGGAGAGTAATGTGAATAAATTGTGAACTGCAACTAATTTCTGCTCTTTAGAATAGATGACCCCATCAAATTTTATTGCCCTGTAGAATATTAACTAATTTTATATCTGTTAGCAAATCCTTTTGAGCATTTCTGACTCTGTGTGTGTATCTGTTACGTGTGTATATATATGTATACCTACAAATATTTACATAATATAGCCTCAAGTTGCAATATTGATGGATTCTATATATTGATGGATTCAAAATATTGAATGACTCAGGAAGTCATTTTTGGTATCACTGTACCAAAAAGAATTGGTCAATGTTCAAGTATTTCAGGAGGTAGTATATGATCAAGAACCAATGGTATTAAAGGAGGAAGTCCAAGCTGCACTGAAGGAATTGGCAAAAATCAAAGCTCCAGGAATTGACAAAATATCAATTGAGTTGTTTCAGCAAATGGGTGCAGCACTGGATGGAGGTGCTTACTCATTTATGCCAAGATATTTGGATGACAGCTACCTGGCCAAATGACTAGAAGAGATCAATATTTGTGCCCATTCCAAAAAAAGTTGATACAACAGAGTGTGAAAATTATTGAATAATATCATTAATACAACACACAAGTAAAATTTTGCTGAAGATAATGTGAAAATGGTTGCAGCAGTATATTGACTGTGAACTGCCAGAAATTCAAGCTGGATTCAGAAAAGGATGTGGAGCAAGGGATATCATTGCCGATGTCAGATAAATCTTGGCTGAAGGCAGTGAATACCAGAAAGATGTTTACTTGTGTTTATTGACTATGCAAAAGCATTTGACTGTGTGATTCGTAACAAATTATGCATGACATTGCAGAGAATAGTAATTCCAGAACATTAAATTATGCTTATGAGGAACCTATACATAGACCAAGAGGCTGTTGTTTGGACTGAACAAGAGGATACTGCATGGTTTAAAATCAGAGCGTATGTCAGTGTTGTATCCTTTTACCATGCTTTTTCGATCTGTATGCTGAGCAAATAAGCTGGACTATATGAAGAACACAGTGTGATAGTTGGAACTGTGTGTCAATTTGGCTGGACCACAATTCTGTGTGGTTTAAGCAATTGTGATGTGGGTTATTCGCACTATGGGATCAGATGTATATGTTTTGAATCCATTGAAAGGGAGTTTCGCTAGGGGTGTGGCTTGCTTCCAATATGTTTATGGACATCCTGGGAGAAGAGTCACTCTTCTGTGGATTGGGATCCTGCGGTGCTGTCTACAAGTCCATGAGTGAACAATCCACCATTCAGCCTGGAGATCTTGGATTCATCATTTGTTGGAGTCAACAGCCAGTATGTTGTTGTTAGGTGCCATCGAGTCATCTCTGACTCACAGCGACCACATGCACAGCAGAACGAAACACTGCCCGATCCCACGCCAGCTCCATGATCCCTGCTATACTTGAGCCCATCATCGCAGCCACCGTGTCAATCCATCTCTTTGAAGGTCTTCCCCTCTTTCGTCGACCCTCCACCTTACCAAGCATGACATCCTTCTCTAGGGAATGGTCCCTTCTGACAACATGACCAAAATAGGGGAGATGAAGTCTGGCCATTCTCGCTTCCAAGGAGCATTTCGGGTGCACTTCCTCTGGTACAGATGTTAGTTCTTGCAGCAATCCATGGTACTTTCAGCACTCTTCGCCAGCACCACAACTCAAAAGCATCAACTCTTCTTCGGTCTTCCTTATTCATTGTCCAGCTCTCACATG